GCGGGGGCTCCTGGGAGTTGTAGTCCGCGCGCGCTGAGGGGGCGGACTACATCTCCCGAGGGGCCGCGCGGCGGCGGCGGCCCCTGGCGGCTGGGAGCGGCGGTGCAGGGCGCCGGGTGCTTGTCGCTGGGGAGCGTACGAGAGAGCAGGCGGCAGGTGAGTGGGGCGCGCAGGTGGGCTGCATGGGGCTATGAGGTGCACGAGGTGTGCATGGGGATGAGGGGTGTATGGGGGTGCACGGGTGCTGCTGGATGCATGGGGATGTGGGGTGCATGCGGCTGAGGGGTGCACGGGGGCTGGCGCACAGGTCACCGCAGCAGGCCCCAGCATCCCCCCCCGCGCAAGGTGCACCTGTGGCCCCAGCACGCTGCGGTGGGGAGACCAACAGTGCGTGGGGTGGGAGCCGGGCCCCCGAGGTTGCCCCCGCTTCGGGTGCGGAGGAGCGCTGGGCCAAGAGCAGCCCGGTGCTGGCTGTCTGCGGGGGGCTTGGGGGCTGCGGCTTGCCTTGCGCTGAGCGTAGGTGATGTTGGGCGGTCAGACTAGACGGCCCCCGGAGGCGCCTGCCCACACGGAGACTCTCTGGATAGCGGCGCCCTTCGGGAGTCCAGGCTGCGCGTCCCCGCTCCGGGGCAGCCAGGCTGGGCAGCGTCGGCTTTCTGGTTCTTCGGTGCTCGGATGCTGCTGGGGAAGCAGGGGGTGTTGAACCCCGATGCAAACCTGCTTCTGCTGCCGGCATATCGACCCTTTGCCCTGCATCGATTTTTACTTCAATAAGGAAAGTCTTCGTTCAGGGGCTTGGCCTGGAGGAGAAGATGGGAAGCGACTGGGAAGATACTGACGCGATGCTTTGCTGCAGCACGTGTCAATTTTATCCAGCACCTCAAAACTTTGCTGAAACGCTTCATCTGCGGACAGCGACAGGGTCTGCCTGTTGTCATGTAGCCCGGTGGTCCGGGCTGCCCTGGGGGCACTAGGTCCTTCGGAGGCACTGAGCCCTCTTGCGCTTGGCCCTGTGGCGTGACCGTCGGGGTGCTTCGTAACACGCGTGTCGAGCTGGAGAAGCCGGTGACGCTAGGTTTGATGTGGTAAATTGATCCGGTTGCTGGTGCCTTCAAACATTCACGCATCAAGTTCAGCCAGCGTCCTGGTGGATTTGATCTGCCCTCTGCTGGCAGCTCTCGGCTTTTCCCTCCGTCACAAAAGCGCTTCAGCAGCTGCTAGCCTGCAGAGAGATGTTAAGTCCTAGCGCAGCAGCCTCGTTACGTTAACGAGAAGGAACCGCTAGCAGGATGCTCTCCATAGCAAGCACTGAAGTTCGCTCTTCCCTTTGATCCTAAATAGTCCACGCTGGCTGACCTCCGAACCACATTGCAAAGCCCAGCTATTTCCTGCGATGTGCTGGGGTTGGGATTTGGGCACCGAGAGCTTGGCTGTGCGGCTGGAGTAGCATTTTGGAGGTTTTCCCCTCCACCGTTGGGGAATATGCTGAATTGACATACGTTTGTGTGTGTTGGCTTGGGTTGTTAATGCCCAGTGAAGGACTTGGGGTCCCAGGCAGCAGCGTTCCTTGATGGTGCATGGGACTGAGATTCTCTTCTCATTCAGGTAGCAGAGATGGGTGTTTCAGCATTGATTTTTAATACTCCTGAACGCATCGTTGGCTAAATCTGTGATAATAATGGACATGTTCCCCCACCCCCAAGAGTGTATGCACTAATAGTTTTCTGCTCTTTTCCCCACCGTACTGATTTATTTTCAGTATGAATGTCAGGATGTCTTTCTCCTCATCCCTTGCCTGCAGATCTGTTTTCTATATGCAGACGAAGGGTCTGACCCTCCAAGCATTTCAGCACATGCTTAAATACGCGAGTCATGCCATCAACTTCAGTGGACTGTTCTGTGAGCAGACCCAGACACTCGTGTATCACTTGCAGGGTCGAGGCCAAGAGAGGACTGAAAGTTCTTGCAAACTTGGAATAAATGTAACCCTGCGGTTGTTGAGTTGCCCACGCCAAACTTCTCTAGAAGCAAAGACCCTTCTTGCTTGCTATCTCGTCCCAGCCTCTGTTGACAGCTTCTGTATTTTTGTGCTGTATGTTTCTGGTTTGAGTATTCCCAAATGCACTTTGTCTCTTTTCCTGCTAATGCTTGGGATAGCCAATAAAGGTCAGTCCTTTATATTCCCAAGTGGACATGTGCTATTGTTACAGGTGTTCATGAGCTCTCTGCTCAGTTCCATTAGAGGGCAAACCACAGGAGCTCTTAGGTGAGAACAGGCTTGGATTGGCACATTCACAGGAGACTGGTAGGGGGGACACGGGGGTGCACATGCCCCCCTTGACGGGGACGGTGCCTCTCCTGCCAGCCGACATTGATGCTGTCGGTAGGGCTGGTGCCGCACCCCTGACAGGGTCCGTGGCTTCTGCAGGTGCCCCCCCCCCCCCCCCCCCCCGCGGGCCCCCCC